TACTAAATATAATTTTATTTTATTTTTTAGTCATACATCAATTTTTCAGGCATATTCCAGTCCTTCATGAAATCTGATAAAAGAAAAGAAATATATGTAATTTTGTTTTTTTGTTTCACATACTTAAGGTTGAGGCTCAGACTGGCTGTATAATGTATCATCATCAATTTACAACAATTTTTATTTTTATTTTTTTGCTTTTTGTTTCTGCCAAAAAGTCTGGGGCGAAGCAATTGACAGACAATCACATTTTAAAGTATTTTGTATCATATTTCAAACCGGAAAGCGACGAGACAGGTATGGATACAAAACAGTCAATGCTATTTATCTTCTTCGCCAGGCGAAGCTCATTTACAGAGATGGGGATGTTACCGTAAAAAGAAGTAAAGTGCTGCAGATGGGAGTAGCCTAGTAGACTGTGAGATACTGATTATGGCGAGGTAGACATCCTGGAAGTGGAATACACCATCGTTTCATATGATTTTTTAGCTTTTATATATTGAATTTAGTTGAATGCACAGTTAGAAAAAAGTTTTAACAATTGAGGTGGCAAATTAAAGTCTACAAATCGTATGCCATTGATGGATGTGCTCTACGCTGACGTGAACTATTTCTCTTGATTAAGTACAGTAGAATCTGTTTATAGCGACGCTCCAGGGACCGTCATTATAGCCGGAAGACGCTATAACCGTAAAAATTCGCTCATAAAAGTTTGTCTGCGAACAAGAATTTTCGTTGTAACCGGACTCTACGGTATATCCCCAACATCTCTGTTACATATATATCAATAAATTCAATAGAGCCATATTTCTATTGTCTCAGGGTATCAGAAGTAAATTGTTTTTGCACCTTAAATAGAATGTAGTTTGTTACATATCTAAGCGTAAGCCTGACTCATGGCAGGTGTTTTCCAGCTGCACAGCAATTCCCGTTACCTGATCCGACTGTCTGGACTGTCTGCCAGCCAGCGTAGCAGGACACTCTGTTGACAGCTATTATCACAGCGGCACACAGACAAACACAATCTGGACTGCCAGTCTTGCAGGTGCTGCTACTCCGGCATACCAGCAGCTAAGTGGCAGTTAGCTGCATTACATTGTTGGGTAGTTAGCATTTTGCAAATCTAGAATTCCCGCCCAACATTCAACGAATACCAAATGCACATTTGCTCCTGCAAATTAGGACACAAGGACGCACAAGATGCATAACTAATGAATGGGTCATCCGTTTGGTTGGCTTACTAATCGTTACTTAGATTGCCGTAAAGCAACGCATGTGCCTAATGAGCAAAACATATTTACATATATGCATACATACATACACATGTCTGCATATTAGCTAAATTTAATTTGTATACATACTTGCATAGCCTTACATCTCAGTCAGCTTGGGAATTTCCATGTCTGTGGCATTTGTGTGCTCTCGAAATAATTTATAAATTTATCTTAGCTTTAGGCAAATACTTGATGGGGGAATTTCAAGTGGGGCTGGTTCTATGACTCAATTTAAGACAATCGAGCTCACTTAGCTACTCTCTTCTATTTCCTATTTATTTAGGTCGATCGCTTTTGGTCTATCACATAGATGAGAAAATCGATATATATATATTTAAAGTTCAGTTGGCGTCGATTTGTAATCTAATAAATGAGACTAAAATCATATCGGAAATTCAGTTAGCCTAAAACCACTAGAATTTGATATCTAGCGGAGATGGCAAGCAAGTCTAGAACAGCATTCAAAGTGCCGAGCAGACATGGCTTTAGTGGCTATAGGCTTTATAGGAGATCTGGTCATCGTAGAATGCAAATGGTCACAATCAGGAGAAATGCAGTTGTCAAAGGCGATGAGACTCTGCGAACTCGCTCGTCAACATTGAGCGAAGAGCTTAATAAAAAATACTTGAAGCTGGTCGCTGATTGGAAAAGGAGTCTGATCGAGGAACCACATTTGAATAGGACACCTGAATCATTTGGCATATGTCTGCCAGAGCCAAGGGAGCCCTACTGCTCCGACGACGAATCCCCTCCTAGCACTCCAGACCAGCATGAGCTTTATTTAAACTCTGCCGATCCACACAAACTATTTCCGAGTGTTCCAGTGATCGTTTGGTCAAGTCTGTTCTCTAGTGCCGCCCAAGAACATGCCAAGGCCGGGCTGCTGGAGCCGCTACAGCAGGAGATGGTGGAGGTCGCTAAAGCCGTTGACGCGATGGGGGACATAACGAACGTAGAGCTCAACGATTGCGCTCACCAACAGCGATTAGAATCGAATATTTCTGTAGCCCAGTACCTATCCAATGTAGAGGATCGAGAGCTTGGTAGACTAAATATGAGCGTTATCAATATATATTCTATACATATTATATGACACATTTATTATAGATGGTCCGGAGGTGTACGTGATTTCATCCCGCAACTTCTGGTTTAGCACCTTGCAAGTGAAAGTTGGCAAGCTTTTCATGCATGTGGATCGGTATGTGTTTTTCCACTACTTGAAAGGCTTTGAGGATTACAAGAGTTGGTCCCTGGAATTTCCCGCTAACAAGGTCTCGATGATTCTGCTGGCCCACATGTACAATTGGATGGTTAGCGAAAGCCCAGCGTTGATACTCGGCCATGACTTTGTTGAGATGTACCACATGGCTAAGTATCTGAATGTGCGCTACCTGTTGGAGCTGTACTGGCACTCACTTTCGATTCATAATGGCGGCGAGGGGGGCGTCTGGGAACAGGAAGCATTCAGAGCATACCAGATATGTCATCGTTTGGGATGCAGCGATTTGATGGCCATATTTATGAACCGAATACAAAAGTTGTTCCTGCCGCTGGTCGCATCTGAGGAGTTTCTCGCTATGGAAGCGGGCGAGGTAGCATATTTGCTCAAAATGGACTCGCTATGCGTGAACAGTGAGGACGAAGTGTTCTTTGCAGCCGTGTACTGGCTAGGGCACAACTGGGAGGAGCGACAACAATATATGGAGCAGGTCATGGCCAGTGTGCGTTATTGTATGATATCGCCTTGGCTGCACCGCTCCATTCTCCACAAGCCGGAGAATGAGATAATCCGGAAGGTGGGCGAAAGCCACACGATTCGAGCCCTGTTATGGAGAGGTCTTTGTGCTAGTCATGCAATGTTTGCCAAGAGGAAAGATCCGGAGCTAGCCGATGACCCTTTGATAATGCGTATCATGCTGATAAAAGACTTCGATCGGAAATGGGGCTTCTGTCCAGGCATTCCCCACCATCACGCCCCCGATTGCTGTCGATTCTCAAAACTCAGCTTTAAGATGTTCCTAAAGTTCCTTAATTTTCTGCACGACGATGCTAAGAAGTACATGGCAGAAACCCAGTTCGTACCGTACAAGTATTTCGTGCCACTCAATTGCTGCTCTAAAAAGGATTTTGTCAGGAAAGTAACACTTGCAAGACAATTTCGGAAGCGGCTCGCGAAACAGTTCCCGTTCGAATTCCGCTATAATGTGAAATAAATGCCTAATTGCTACCTTCCTAAATATATTTCAACAAACTGGGTGTGCTGTGAACGCTTTGCAGTTGTCGGAGCTTGTTAATAAAAGGAGAAAAGCGATTCGAATTTTCAAGTGTCAGTATTTCACTTTTGTGCTTATTGAAATAAACATTTTACTTATATATTTGTTATACAAATTTCAAAATATACATACATATGATAAAATATGTATATATGAATGATTTTCTGTACATTATTATTTATTTACTTTTGTTATTACTTTTATTTATTTATATTTTCATTGATCCATTCAGTTGATTACTCGTCAATATTTATATCACACTCAATAAATATGTGCACTATCAAAATTTAAGTGAATTAATTTGCATTTGCCACACAGCCAGCGAATGAAAATAAATTTCTTATTTATTGTATGCATATCATTGAAAATGGAACAAGAGCTTTAATTATTTGCACACGATTAATTTTATTTTTATTGACCACACTCTGGTCAATTAAATTAAATGAAACTGATGTGAAAGTCGCATGAATTTGATTTATATTAATTTATGCACATGACACGAGAGCTGCCTGGGCTCGATCCAAGTGCACGGCATAAGGATAACTCACCAACGGCAAAACAGTTTTCGCGCTTGGCCAGTGCCAATTTCACAATATCCGCCACACATGGCCATGGCTGAGACCCAATCATGTTTCACTGATGGGTTTGTCGTTGTTGTTGTTGTTGTTCTTATTGATACTGCATTAGTCTGCTGCTGCTCGGCACTGCAATCAGAAGAGGCCGCCCCTTGCACTCGCATTGCATATTGCACTCGCATTCATATCGCACTTGTCCTTGGGCGAACTGCTCCAAGGCGGCTCATCGACGTCAACATGCCTCTCGCGCGATGGGCACTTTGCTGTTAGCTTTTAATAGGATGGATGGTTCATATATTATCCATATTTGTGTTGATACTTCGATGATGGGACTCTGCTGGTGTTGCTGCTGCTACTGCAGTGACTCTGCTGTTGCTGATGCTGCATTCAAGAGAACGTTCTGCCTATTCCATAAATATCCATGCTGCATCACAATTAAATAAGCAAACAATTATTTAACTTAGTTTTAGTTTATAACTTTCATAATTAAATATTAAGAGCACAGAAAATATTCAACTAAACTTGTTCAACTAAGATTTTTTTATTTGAAGTATTGCCAATATATATTCCATAAATTTAATGGTATAAAAATTGTTTATTATATTAAGTTAGTTAATATAAATTAACATAATAAACAATTTTTATTGCATAGCCATTTCTTTCATTTAGTTATTTTATTTTATTTTTTTAAATTATTATTTTTATTTTATTTATTTTTTATTTTTATTTATTTTATTTTAGTTTATTTATTTATTTATTTATTTATTTTTTTTTTTTTTTTTTTTTTAAAGATTTTTAAGATCAACTTAAATTATTACATTTTCGATTTACTTATTTATTTAATTCTATTACAATTTGTGATTTTTATTTTTTAATAAATTGTATTTATGAAATATTTTCTCGATTGCTTTTGCTGTGCATAGATTTGTACTGGAGTATTGAATATTTTTTAAGGGTATATATTAAGATTAAAACTAGACTTGCTTATTAACGTAGTCAAAACTCACGACTGACGTAAGGAACTTCTTTGCTTACTCTACCTATAAGGAATTTAAAATCTAGTAAACTTATTTAGACTTTCACTACATCTCTGGTTGGCGCCTCTAGCAACTTCTTCAATATTGCCCTGTTACTGACCAATTGCTGTTGTCAACAAGGCAGCAGATAATGCCAACACACGCCTCGGCGCAGCTTCGCTGTCTTGCTGTGCTGCTCAATTCTCCAGCACTGCAAATAAATATAATGGCAAATGTTTGATTATGAGCACAAACAGGCGGAAGTTAGTTAGACATTGTCGAAATGCAATATCTCCAACACGTGACTTGGCAAAGTTTTTAACAAGCTGCTCACGTGACCGCCGAGTCCGTTGAACGACGGCAGTCAGCTGGAGAGAACAGCCTTTTGGCATCACGTAGAGCAGCATATTTAACATATGTACTATACATGGAAATTTTAATGGAATCCACTGGGTCTAGTAAGTCGTTCGTCATGTTTATTTTAGCTCGGCGCATGGCTGACCTGTGTTACCTGGACGAGGCGACACGGCATACAGTCAGACAGTCGTGGCCTAGCAGCAGCTCACCTGCAGCATCTCATTGCATGCAAACAGACGTCAACGTGCCCGACCAATTCGGATACATTTTCAAGTTTCTCTTGGGAGTCTGACCATTCTGCGTGGCTCAACTCTTTCAGTGTTAAAGTGGACTGTGACAGCATTGTTAGCATAGCTGCTAGTCAATTCTTGTATATATATGTGTATACACATATACATATAAATATATACATACATAAGTATGTACATATATTTGTATACATATTTTGAGCAAGAGTTTAAGATCTTGCTGCTGCATTTCCTAAGCTTCTCTAGTCGAATTTTTATTTTCAGTCTGCACAATATTTAGATGGTATGGTATGCAAACAAAGTGAAAGAGAGAGAGACAGACAGAGAGAGAGAGAGAGAGAGAGAGAGAGAGAGAGAGAGAGAGAGAGAGAGAGACAGAGAGTGAGAGAAAGAGAGAGACAGAGAGTGAGAGAAAGAGAAAGATGAATGGGTTAATTGAAAATTGGATAGGTGCAAAGTAAAGTAGAGCTTCACCTGTTTGGCCAGCTAAGTTAATTTATTAAAAAAAAGTAATTTGCTATTTTAAGCACTGCGATTTCAAATTGAGAATCGCAGCATCTCTCAATATAGTCTACTCCATTATAACGAGTCTCCACATTGATTGGCTGAACGATTCAAGTACTACCAGGCTACAATAGGCTTTAGATGTTGAGTCATATCAGGGTTATGCTTACCACGATAATCTTTTAATAGCGCAGCTAATATTTGTTTTTAACTCTTGCTCTCAATTACACACTCCAATAATATGTGGTAACAGCAATAAGCGTGACCACAATACAAATGAGTACAGAAATTTCTGCAAATCAAGCAAAACTTGAAGACATCATCAACAGTAAGAAGATAGCCGAATGGCTAGTCATTTGTCCAAATAGGGACTCCATTAGTTTTGGCTGTCTAGCCTCATAAGCTATCTACCATTAGCCTTAGGACTTGTGTTCCTTCCACTCATCAGACTTGTGCTTGACTACGGGCCGCTTCTTGCCGTCTAATCCTATCAATTTGTGTGTCTTATTTGTTTGTTACCTTGCCCCAGGCGGCCGATGGGGATTTGTGGACGTGTGACCTTCGACCCAAATGGTAGCTGAACAGAAATATAATAGTGTTTCAGTTAATATAAATATATTTATTATTTTCTCTATAGACAACCGGAGATCTCTTTAAAAGAATACTCAATGCATTCAACTCGAAGCTCTAAATTATTTATAAATGATAAAATTATCACATCTCAACTCATTACATATTATTCTAATGTGAACATTTTTGTTCTAAAAAATATTTGTATTATTTTATTTTCTATAAATTTTTACTCTTTTCATGCTTGCGTTTGTTCATTTATTCAGTTGATTAAACAAAATTGATTGCCAAAAGCCGCTGCGATATTTGTTATGAATTACCTTATCTAAATTATTGAACAGCACAGTGAATGATTTCAGTGCAGTAGAAAAGCTCTTCTATTATGTATATTATTATGAAAGAGATTCAGAATATTTATTTAAATAATATATAAGTAGTTTTAGAGTGAAGGATCTGTATATAGAAAATATATGCTTGTCTATAATTTGACTCTGAAATGTTCAAATTTCCAAATTTGTTTCAAAATATATTGTAAGTTATAGCGTAAAATAATGTGCAAATAGAAATATATAAATAAACGTATTTATTTATATATTGCATGACATTGCTTATTTACACTGCTAATCGACGCACCTGCTGTAGCTCTGATTTCAAATCGTGTTCATTCAGCTGCTCCACTCTTCGACCTAATTCATTTCCTTGCCTAATGGCCTGCTCCAGACTGTCGTCGCTGGGCGTGAGAATGTTTAAGTCAGCAGTTTGAGCTGGCTCTTTAGCTCCGGCCTCAGTGCTGTCTAAATTGCACAGATGGCAAGGCATATGCTGCCGATATGCATATGTATGTGTGTGTCTGCCACGATCCCGTTGACCGCGCGACTTTTGCAGCACGGATTGCTGGCAACGCGTGCCGTGGGCTGCGTCTGATATCTTACTGGCATAAAAGTTCATCGCCATATGTCACGTTCGGGCTGCTGGCGCTCGTGATGCGCTGTCATGTGTGTGTGTGTGTGTGTGTGTGTGTCTGTGTGTGTGTGTGAGTAAGGAGCGACTGTAGCTGCTTACAAATGGATTGCGCTGTGTTTGATTAACGCACAGACACGGACTGAACAGGTGACAGGCTGTAGTCGCCGGAGAATGTGTAACCATCACGTCACCCGAGATACGTGCGCTAAAAAAGAATGAATAGTTAGATGGTGAGAATGTGAGGCATTTATTATGATTCATTGACTTGTCATCAAATTCACATTGTATGCAATCGATCAAATGGGTGAGTGTTGAGAGGTTCAGATATATACCAATATACATAAAATACTCAACTTAAGTGTAAGAACAATAAAGAAATAATAATTTCAGTAATAGCAAATTAACTTGAGAGTCGTAAACTAAACACGCTGCTCTCTTTGCAAATAGAATAGTTTTATTGACAATAAAAGTGATAGTTACGGTAAATAAAACTGGCTGACAGCAGTCGTAAATGATCAGCTGACAAAAAGCCGAAACAGTTGAATAGTGAAATAAAATATAATCAATCTGAGATGAGCATAAGCCTTTTATCTCTAACCAAAACAGTATGAATTTTGTTAAGTTTTATGACTAATAATATATACTTCTCATTAGTAATTTATTATTCTTATTCTTAAAAAAAAAAAAAATAATAATGTTTTTGCTTGCAATAAAACTTTATGTTTTTCAAATCTCTACTAGTTAAGAGCTTGTTTCCTGACTTGCCAAACCCAAACACTATAAGAGACGAAGGTACCGAAGTTTTGCCAAGTTTAAATTAAAATTATTATTAATTACTACTAATATTAATAACATTAATATTAGTATGGACATATTACCGTCGAAATGGCAAATTAAATGAAATTATATGAATAGAAAATGAGTGTGTTTTCTATATTAACCTTGAACTTTGCTCAATGGCATCCATTTCTTGACGAACTTGATATTGTAATAATCGTAAAAAATAAACATTAACATTCACTTTATATTCAGTGAAATATAGCCATCTGCAGTTCATTCAAGTTCAAGTTTACGGTGCGTATGAGTAATATTTATGACAGGAGACAGCTGCATACTTACATAACCCAGTGTGCAGGAACATGTGCACGATTATTTCTTTATGACTGCTAAAGAATATATAAATAAAGAAAATTCATTTTTTATGAAGTATGTAAAAAATGTCCTCAATAATCATTTATTAACTATGTCTTAACAATCCCCAAATTTTCATAGGACATCAATCAAAGAAAACGAAATTCAATTTTTTTAATGTATTATTTTAGAATATTTGTGAGAAAACATTACACAAATTATCACTTTGGTATATCGAATTAATTTAATCAAATTAATTTATTTACATTATTTGCCAAATATACGTATTAGGAAAAAAATTAGTACAATAAAATTGGATTGCGCCTTATGAACATCACGCACCAAACAGCCGCTGTGAACTAAATTTTAACATTCGAATTGGCAGCTTTTGTTGCTGGAGAGTACATCCTCTGTTAAATAGTGGGAAATGTTATGCCCACTGTTAACAAAATGTAAGTACATATAGTAAGCCAGCTCAAGCAGAGCCTGTCCTTTGCAACATGTTGCAGACCGAACATGAGTTTGCTGTTCGACTAATATGATTTTGCTGCTCAATCATTGCCTGAACTGTCGACGCTCGTGTGTGTTACCTTGCCTGAAAGTGGGCTGGCCACATGTCTAATGGCTCTGCCAACACATCTTGGCTGCGAGTCTTTGGGGAATGCCACAAAACAGATTCTGGCTGGCCACACAGCTGTATTCCCAAATGTTGTTTTGTTTTTGTGAAATATGGGCAATTATTTAGCAGAATTATCATGTGGTTGGCTTATCTGGACTCCAAATCTATATATAAATGCATAAAATGTCTGAGTCACAAAAGTTCACACAGCAAATTAGCGAAATCAATTCGCATTTTTTTTTTTTTTTTTTTGTCTAGAGTGCTCACTTTGACTTGAGGTCAAGAGTCTTTAACACCCACACAACCGCACACACACACTCACAGAAGCTCTCGTAACTGTGGGGCAAACATTTTGTGAGGTCATTTGGGAAATTGCTGAGCTAAACTTGGAGCAAGCTAAAGGCCAAAGTTTCAACCAGTAGCTTAAATTGCAAATTTTTGTTGATTTTTGTTATGACGCAGTAAAAACTGAATTTGATATAGATATATATGTCTGTGGATATCTGTGTATATATAGGTATGTATATATAAGTATATGTATTTATGGAATAAAAGTAGTTTTCATATTTCAAGCTCATTTGTATTTACTTTGCTTGCGACTTTCTGCTTCAACTTAACATAAGAATAACTAAATATATTTCAAGTTGATGTTGATTTTAGCTCAAATATAAGTCAGTTTTATATTATATTTATGTTTATGCAAGTATTTATATTGCCCCCAGTATAAGTCCCCTCTCCCAATCCAAATCAATGAAACTTCTTCTGTCAAGTTAAGCTAAATCTTTCGCTGCATATATTCTTCCCTGAGCAACAAGTGGATTCTCACAATATTCACGCCTTTTCTTTCAAGCATTTAAGTTAATATGTAGATTCGTTTATTGTGCTAAATTGCAGTTGGCTGAAAAAGAGTTGCTCATGTGTAAGCCACACATACAGGCATCAGTTGGCTCGTCCTCGTATTTACATATGCAAATGTGGGATATTTGAACACACTTGGCTCCGTGTCTAATCCAATTTCAATGGCGTAATCCACCATGACTGACACTAAAAGCGAAGTCGAAGGACGCCTGTCAACTGATGGGTTAATGCCATTGCTGAATGTCAGCTGAAATTTCTTGCCCAAAAGATCTTCACGCACCAGGGCACTTCAAATGCTTGAGTACTCAATTGAATTACTCAAACGCATCGCATGTATGCGTAGTTGTGCTTCGCATCACACACACAAGTCTATAATACAACGCGTTCGTCCTTGTATCTCAAGTTAAATAAGTTGTGCGCGGTGCTTTAATGCCAACATAAAAGCTCAAAGTTGACCACTTCATTTTGACTTTTGCTTAAGTTTTATGGACGCTGCACAGATTCCATGAAGATTTCATACTCGGAATGCTTGCAACGTGCTCGGCTTAACAGGCAAGTTGGCAACTTTATTAGACCACAAAAATGGCTGCATTCAAAATGAAATTGCATTTCATAAGTTGCCTCAAGATGTGGCCAGACATGCGCAGAATACCAAATATCAATATAAACTGAATTAAAAACAACGAAAACTATAATTTCATGATATGGTATAGAAATAGTTATACTACAATTTATATTGATTTGATGAGCAGAAAAAAAAGTAATTTACTTATATTACAGTTTTGTATACTCATAATTTACGTAAGAAATCTTTATATTAGTGTGCAAATAATTTGTATGTAATTTAATAAGTGCTAAAATAGTTCTTACATCAGTAAGCAATGCTAAAGTAATAATAAAGTAAATAATTTAATAGTTAACATATATTTGCATGTAAAACTGCGCAAGCAGGCTTCAGCATGAAAATACAATTTAATTTGATAGTCAAGTGACAAAAAATACAAAAAATAAAGAGTAAGAAAATAAGTAAAAACATTGCACTCGGGTGTTTCCCACCGCAGAATACTCATTCACGACTCAAACGGGGCCAGAGCCATTTTCCGATCTGTCACGTCCCCAAACGGTTATATGTTACCATGATATGTATCACATTTGCCTCGTTACTAGGCGGTTCAAGAGCATAAGTTCCTAGTATAAAAACTCTACCTTCAATAATTGCACAAAAACCAATATACTCCTTTCACTTCCGTGAGTGAGTGTAAAATGATAGAGAAGTTATGTGAGATCTCATGCGGCTGTCGCTGCTATAAATATGGCACACAGCAATTTGTATTTAATGCATTCTCAAATTGTGTGAGAGACAGAGAGGGGGAGAGAGAGGGAGAGAGAGTGCCTGTCGAGGCCTGTGTAAGGCAAATGAGTGTGTGAAAAAAATAAAATAAAAATGGTATTCAACAAGAGACTTGCCAGTTTAGAGCACATTTTGTCATTCAAGCACTACTATGTGAAAAATATATATGTATATATATAAACATACATATATACATTTTCGCATTTTAATTTCAACAATATGAACAGCGCGAAATACTTTCTTCTGTATATGGGAAATTTTTCATATTGGCTTGGCATCGCAGTCAGTGAATAATTGTGCTAATGGCACAAATTTTCAGTGAATGCAGCCACCTTAATTTAACTCTGCACTTTTCGCTCTTTCGCTTATTTTTGTTACACTCAACAGCAATTAAAAGAAACTCATTTGGCGCACCTGTCTTGCTCTATCTCTCTCTCTCTCTCTCTCTCGCAGTCTATCTAACTTTTACCTATTTATTTATATTGCAAACTTTGCGCTAAAATTAAACAAGTTTGAAGTTTGAACATTTTGTTAGCACATAGCTTTATTTCATTTTGGGCTGATTGATTGTCTTCAGTTTAATTTATTCCCTCCCTGGTTTTTTATTTACTGTGCCTAAATAAAAATGAAATAAAGAAAAGCTAACTCCCAATTTATTGTTATGACGGCTCGGAAATTAATTTGAAAATTTTCACCATTTTATGACTGCTTTAATTGCAGCCATTTCATTTATTAGGTGAAATTTATTTTACTCGACAACATTTTTATTCGCTGCCATAAAATTTTTACTGTGCATCGCTTTATGCTCATTACAATTCAATTTCTGAAGCTGCATTCAACCAATTATTTTCATTGCTTCAAAGCGGACCGGACTAATTAAATTTACATAATTTGCAAAAGAATAATGTATATGATTAAATTCTTAAATACTGAATAGACAAATGTATTAGAGGAAATGCCATTTAAATTACTGCTGAGTAATTAAATTTTACAAATATTAAATTAATAAAAAAAAAAAAAAAAAAAATAGCATAGCTAAGTAACTGACCAATTTAGTTTATTTTCTTAAATTTTCTAATTCAGATTTTTCCTTGACTTATATATAATTTTTGTACCAATCTCTTTTACTGCGCTTAAGCAAAAATGAACTTTTTCCATTGATTTCAATTAAACATTTGCCTGCAAAAAGCACTTTGCTGCAGCGAAGAAGTTCTTTGTACACTCTTATGCAAAGTGCATGGCCTCGTTTCGCTTTTTGCCCCCCTTTTGGTCTAGACGGCATTTAAGAGCAAGTTAATGTCACGCATTCAGCTTTAACACACTTTGGATTCCCTTCCGGCTGCCCTTAGCAAACAGCGACGCAGTTGTTTTAGTTGTTGTTGGCATTGTTGTTGCTGTACTTTTAATGTTGTCATTGCTTTTACAAGTCAGCTACATAGTACTTAGCGAAATGTATGTATGTGTGCGTTTGTGTATGCGTGTGTGTGTGTGTGCGGCTGTGTACATAGCATGCTCTGAAGTGTGAATTGGAAAATGAGTTCGCACTTAAGATTAAAATCAGCAAACAGTGCGGTGGACAGCCTCGGGCGAATGTATCTATGCAAGCAGAGATTTTTCAAGTGAAATTGAAATTATGCTTATCTTAATTAATATGTTACGCAAAGGTGTTAACAAGAGACAAATGTATGCATTAGCATATCAAATATTGTTTGAGTGGAGCAAATTTAATTACTTATATATCTAATATTGTTGGAGAGTAACGCGCTTATTTACGTATACGTAATATTGTTTGAGAGCAACGTATACGTAATACATATGTAAACATATACAATGCGAACCATCAAATAATTGAGGAATTTTTAATGGAATGTGCCAGAAAAAATCAATAATAATTTCATTTATATCAGTGAATATATATATGAAATTATTATTTCGCATCAGTTTCAGGGAAATTAAATATATATCGAAAATATAATATCATAGATAAACACAATTTTATTGATGTTGAAAATAATAATTATGGTATTTCGTACAAGTAAATTTCTACATATACTAATTTATTGGCAACTTGCTACAGGGTATATAAAAGTCCAGCGACAACTCCCATTGAGCATTGTAAATAGATAATAAAAGAGAGCTGAGAAGTGCAGAGTCTGCATTGTAGAACAAGTGAACAAACAACAAAGAAGCCCTCAGCTGTGGCTCCAAAAGTTTTGCCATTCGCTTCTCGAAGGCTTTTCACTCGCCATTTCACAGCTCGCTAGGCGGCAGCCTAATGAGAGAGAAGATTACCTTTCACAGCCTTTTGGCTCTTACCATTGTTGCTCCTGGTATTGGCCTAACACTAATCTAATATTTTATGTACTTGTACATAATCTACATATTAAATGAAATTCGATTAAGTGCTGTCTAGGGCAGACAATGAAATTAAGTTATAAATTGGTAAATCATCGGCTTAGCCATTGAACCGAATATTATCCTAGGCTCACACACTTTATTCATGCATTATTTAACGGCCAGACATAAA